GTTATACTTAAAAGGAAACATTTGATTTTACTGCGCGCACAAGAAGAGATTTTTCAAACAAAATTCCACACTTAACTGGTTAAAAGAAGTAACAGTCAAACCAAGTTTGTACCATCCCATTGTTCAGCCCAGAAAATCGTGCCTTACACGAGCCGACGTGATACGTATCGATAAGACGCGATAGTCGGCGTTGAATGGGAAACATTTTCTCGTTGTTAGCCGACAACAGGTCGCAAATACGATTACGTTAGGAAGGAATCCGCGCGTGCGTGTGAGGCAACGAATTTCCCCGTAATAAAAACTGGTTTGACCGTCGATAAACCTCGTTAAAAGGAGACGCGTCACCGGCGTTAATCGCTGCGCGCAATCGCACACCCGGCTAGCGTCGATGGGAAAAGGTGTGAGAAACACGCGGTTCACCGTACGTAACTCCTTCGTTTCTCTTGTCAAACAATAATCGAGCGCGACTAATATCGCACGAATCGGGGCACGAATCATCCCGTTAAAATCCGTTGCTTCCGGCGTGTAAACACGGCTGCCGCTCGGTTTCGGCTGGCGTATAAACAAACGTGTCGAACCGGCAGATGCTCGCCGAGTATCGAATATTCGAGTGCTCGGACGAGCACGATGCATCGGCGACCGGCGATAATTATCCTCGCATTTCGACGGAAATCGAGTAAAACACAGCTTGATTACGGATTAATAAATGCAGTCAACAATGAAAATACGGCTGTTCACACAATCCCAAGTGATTCCCGATAATTGTTCGCTGCTGCTGAGAGCGTGAATCGACGATGGAAAGAAAGTCACAATTAGCCGTGGCACTTTCACTGTCGTGCGGCATGAACGAAGGTGTGGGAAACAATGCCGCGAAGTGAATAGGTTATTTAATAATCATTGCCTGGCATTTTACTGTGGGAACGCTAATTGGTTGTTTGCATTAGTAGCTACCGATTAATGACCGATCGTGGGACCGAAGCGTTGTGGTTAATTGTTATTAATTATTAAGCACACTATCCAAGGCTGCAAATACTTTATTGGCAGAACTACTCGTTGGAGCACAATTAAGCCTAGTCATTATCAGAAACGGTCCACGCCGTTAACACGAAGTAATTAGCGTTTACACCGAGTAATACGAATAATTCACCCGTGTGTAGCTGACCCGTCGCGAGCACTTATCGAATTAGCGGTGTGCGTTGAACGCCGCGTCGCGATTCCAAAATTCGACGAGTAGCCAGAACTTTGCTCGACGGGCCGTCGACGATCGTTGCGCAATCAGATCCGCGCAAACATTACCGCGAAACGCGACGAAGCTGCCGGAAAATTCAAATAATGAGCAGAGGAGGGTAAGCCGCCTCGTTGATTAAACTACCTGTTAGATTGCGAAATGCGGCGTCGTTATTGAGGAACCTCTAACCAGTGCAAGAACGACGGGAAAAAAGGTGAGGCATTCCGGGAACTATAGAGTCATCTGATCAACTGACGCCAATGAAATATACAAATTCTTGAATAAGAAAACGTACAAGCTATACCAAAATGTTTGGTCCTTCGCAAATTAGAAAATTCGTTAACACGGTGACCTGTTGAAATTGTTTTCTTAACGAACGGAAATTGGAAAGTCACGATTTGCCAGCGAAAAAATTCAAGTTTAAGTCTGTAAATTATTTCAATTAAATATGTCCCTCAATTTTGGGTGACACAGCAGTAATAATTTAGTCACTGGAGAAGCGTTTCATTCTTTATGTATGAGTTCTTAAGATACCTGTTACTGAAGTCTCTTCCATTGTTACGTATAATGTCGGTCTTAGCGTGTACTTCATGATTTCACCCTCATAAGAACACTCGAAGCACTCGGAGACTGTCGATTGGAATATAGATTGATGAACCATGGTAAGACGAACGCACGATAACATAGCACAACGAAGTGTCTTCTTCGTGTGGCAAGAGATTCTTTGCCAAGTCACCGCATAAATTGCAACGTTAAGAACTTTCCAGATTCTTTTTTTCATTTTGAATCGTGAAAATCATGAATAAGAATAGCCCGACTACAAAACTGCAGAGTCATAGCATCATCTAGTGTTTTGACCCGTTTTATTTGTTAAGGACAATGATTCTGAATCATCTCGCGAGACGCTGTCGCGAGTATTACTCAACTCTTTACTCCGGTCAAACCAAAGTTTGTATTTATCTAGATTTTCGTCGTGCATGACTTACAACATTGGAGTTACATGTATCTTTCAGTTGTGCTATAATATTCTATCGTTCAAATTATAGATATTTTATCGTTCTGTTTACGTTGTAGCATTGATTTGCAATTCGTCGACGGTCACGGAGACCGATTCTGGTATTTAAGGGTTAATTAACGAGTTGTTCAGATTTGATCAACGCAGAGACCGTGGAATGGCGTTCGTTTCACGCGTGAACGAGCAGCAGAGTCTGCTCACGAGAAAATCACGAGACGAGCATTCACTCTCAAACAAAATTTCACGAACTTTTGGCAAAAAGTTGAACAACCTCGTTTCATCGCAAAGTAGTAACTAAGTAGTCTCCAAGGGCAACGTATCCCTCGCAAGTCTTTTGATACTTGAAGAATTTTCTGGCCACTTTGTGCATACGATCGGACACTTAGCATCGCGTGACATCATACGCTTTTCCCCTCGCGGTACGCTCGATTTGAGTCTATACACTTTGTCACTTATCCAACGCTAGAGAATGCAAAATTCATGCGAAAGTCGATGCGTCCGATGAAAATCAACCGAGACTTGGAATTCCGAAGTTCGTGATTTATGGAGCAAGTTGTCTCTCGTGTTCATTTCAAAATGTATTTATTAAGATTCTTATCGATGTGTTTTTGTGATTGTACAAACCTGAGATTGATTTTGAATTCTACGAACGTGATTCCACGCGGAGAAGCAGGTGAAATTGTTGTGAAATTATTATCCTATAATCGGTTCTTATGTGACTCCTCGCTTTTGAGTTACATTGAGAACCTGTGCAAATACCACCGACGATTAACAGAAGCCGGCTGACGCGTCTGTCCATGACTTATCGTTTCCCCGTCTTGTAAACACTAACGGGGATGCGTCAGACAGGTCTTTCAAACTCTGTTACCTCGTTAACGAAAGCTCTTATAAGGAATGTATAATTCAATGCTCTTGGCCTGTTTTTTCATGCAAATTCACGCTGTTTCAATTACTGTACGATCGTCGACTTTCGATGAAACGAAGATTCCATTGTCGTTTCTTTGGGCATTCGAAAAGCTGAGATTTCTTTGACAAACGTACTACGCGTGTTTCAATAGGCCAGGAAAAGTCTAGATACAGCTAGAAGAATTTCCGAATAAAGTGGAGTACTCGGGTATTTGACGAACAATGTTGAAAAGGCAAACAAAGTAAATGCTTAGAAGTATCAGCTATTAGAAAATGCTAGATTCTATGCAATTTTTTAGTACTACATAGCAAATTCTAGAAGATCAGAGGTAAATATCACAAAAGTTTACTCGAAATTAACAAGCGAGTAGAATTCTTGAAATTACAATAACGTTTACTCAACGTTTCCAGTACACACTAACACCAAAGCTACCGAACATTTAATACAATTACCATCTAATCCCCGCAAACATTGTATCAACAGATTATCCTCAGTTCCTCGTGACGTTCATTACAGTGTTCAAGTGAAACTATTTATTTTCAAGATCATTCCGAATATCGTATGTTTTCAAGACACAACTACGAGACGAACAAATCGAAGTCCGTCAGACTGGCACGGTAGTTCCAGGGATAAAATCTACTTCCTTTCACGAACACGACCCGTTGTTTACGGTTCATTGTATCTGTGCGGCGAGAGTAAAAACCGACGAATCGAAGTATCTCAAGGTCGAGAGGGTCAGTAAGACGGCGTTTATGCACTTGCGCTGGATATGAAAGGTGCAATCATTTCGTGCACCTCTCGCGAAGGCGAGCAGGTTCTCGGTCGCAAGAACCCGTGTCGTTCGCCGGCAAGGTCGCGTGCACGCTTCCACGAACTTATTTGATCATGCCCGAATCCTGATCCCCGCGAGTGCAACGCCGGCGGTATTATGAAACAAGCCCAGGCAAAAAGGGGGCACCGGTCCACAGTCGAATCTTAATTGCCGCGCCACGGCGTCGGCCACGCAATCGCGGAGTTTTTATCTTTCGCGAAAATGTTACAAGGAGATCGTCCGAAAAGTTCGCGATTCGATTTTCATGGACGTCCGGAGACGGACGGGAAGAGGCTGGAAAACGCGTCGCGCGTCGGTGATCGTTCGATCGAGAGAAATCGGTTGAGCGCGTCGCGATTAGGCTGCAAACCGTTGACTACAGAGAATCGAAGAGACGAAGGTTCTTATTTCAATCTTTACTGAAACAACGAGTAATCACTTCGCTTTCGTCACTGAGAACATTACACTCGGTCCTGCTCCTCTAGGCTACGAATCAAAGATAGCACTCCGCGCAGTCGATCCTCGAGCACCGATGCAAACTCGAAGGAATTCTCTTATTCCTCCCTTGTCCACGATGCGTAATCGTCGTCACTGCGAACCAATCGACACAAGATCAAACGGCACGATCGAAATTCGTATGGAATCGAAGAGAGAAGTTCGAAAGATTTCCATTTTCCGACGAGCGTCGCAAGGGTTGCGAATGTCCTCGGGCGGTGAACCGATCACAAACAAACTCCCTCGAGATCGCGATAGATCGGGATCGAAGTTTCCGTCGGAGGATGAAAGTAACATAGTGGAGAGATCACGGTGTCCGAAGTGATCACCGTGGGTCGGCGTTCGGCGGTCAAGCGACGTGTGAAAAACGCGCGTGCGCCGGCGACGGCGGCGGCGTCGACCCTTGGACGATCGAGAACGATCGGCGAGGGTCCGCAGGAGCCGCAATTCGTCCTAACGCGGGCTGGTGGGGCCCCGTTGCGTGTTCCACCCCACGCGGCGTCGGGGTACAGCTGTCGCGAGCTTATGCCGATATAAAACACGGTTTTCATGGCGGACCTTCAGTTTTCTCGAAAGTGGTCGAGCACGAGCGCGCCTCACGCCGGCGAACGGACGGACGGACAACAAACACGAGCACGCGGAGTACGCACGTCACCGAGTACACGGTCACTGACAGACGGCCACGCTGGGATTGGGACCCATCCGATTGGATCGGAGTGGTGATCGTTCGACGGCATTCGAACGGAACGATTGATTACCGTCTCGAAAGTGAACGGAGTGTCTAACGAACTTTCACGGTGAGTAGAGGAAGACGAGGCGGTCGAAGAAGACAGTTGTCCCGACGCGATACTCTCGCGAGTCATCCCTCAGTGAGTTTGCGTCGAGAAGTGTGAAAACGTTCGGGTACTCGGGGATGATCTTGGAATCTGACGGTTGACGAGCGGCCGAGGCAGAGTGTAGAATTTGGTCGTTGGAATTTGGTAGCTTGGTCTTGATAGAACTTGATCGTTGGATAGTTGGAATGATAGTTGGGACTTGATGGTTAAGAATTAGTTGAGAATCAGTGGTTGGGGATTGGTAGTCGGAAAATTCATACTTTTCCGCAGCTTTCTTTTATCTTAGAGACGTCGCGTGTAATTACTTGTACGTTCCCATTGTCTGGCGGATAATTAGGTAAACGACCACAGACATTTGTCGAATTGGAGAAATTGACTTCTGATTGCCGGTTGGTTCTGGGGATGTTTACCGAGTCATATGAATCTTCTAAGTGGATAACATGTTGAATTTATCAATTGGTAATTCTGTTGTAATGATTCCTAATTACACTTGTCAAAACGTCAGCGCGCCGAGAAGAAACTTGCGTAAGAAACCGCAGTTCCTTGTGCGAGCCTGTTCTTTGTGCGAGGGAATGATTGAGCCGGCTAAATTTAGACGAATTGAGGAAAAATTAGCGGGGCCGTGTCCGAGCTTTGTCTATCGCAGCACAAAGAAACCTGCGAACCTCTCGTTCACCCCAAATCGAGATTGCTTGCTGTGAAGATCGTCGAAACGTCGAGCCAATGGAATGTCAATGTGCATTCGAAAATGCGTATGTCGTAAATATTACAACGTAAATATTACGTAAATATTACAAAACAAGTTTCTTCGGAACTCGTTGAACCCGTATAATTATCATTGTTGTTATGTTTCGTGGTTAGAGGTGAAGATTCTCGATTTAAAACGATTCCGCTCCGCTTTCGCTGTTCTATTTCGAATCGAAAATCATCCTAGATCTAACGATCGATTACTTTTTGCACGGACGACTTGTGCAACGAGGATCATCGATGAAAGTCACGGTTTAATTACGCTATTTCACCGAACGTGCCGCGAGATCCTTTATGCCTCCTATTCGCTGCCAAACCCACCTCGCGACACAGTCGCCATTACCTTTTATTTTCATCCGAAGAAATTATAATAATCCGAAGGATCGTCGCACAAGACACGTATACCTGGAATTTTTAACGGACGTCCGATTCTAGAAATCCACGTGAACGTTCGAAGTCTCCTGTAATGAATTTTGCCTGTGGCCAGAATACAGATAAATTTTGTCTCGCGTTAAAAGTAATTTACGCGCAGGAAATTCCTTTTCTAACGACGCGTTGGAACATCATTACCATTAGAAGCTGAAATTTCATCATTGGCGTAAAAACCTTGGCTTCGCTTATCGGGAAATTAATGTGGAGACGACAATCATGATCTGCGAGGATTATTAAGCTGCCTGAAAGGTCTTCCCCGAGAATCGTTAGTCGAATAAGCAGATTAAAGTATTACCGAAAGCTAAAACGCAGCGCGAATGACGAGTTAATTTGTCTTGCTCGGTTAATACGTTGAAAAAGACTCTTCAAAATATCGGGAGACAATCGCGAGCCTCGCGGAAAGATAGGATTTCAGGTAAAAATCTGTAATTCAATAGCAAACAAGTGCTAAATCATTTCAACAAACGACGCGAAGAATATAAGCTCGCTCGAAAATCCAAGAAACAAGCCTCGCCAAATTACAGCTCTATAAATTCCCATAAATGACGCAAAAAAGTATATTACATAAACATTTGTAATCCAATTTAATGAATTTACGTGAAACTCGATAGTACAAGCTTACGCGAACCGACGCGAGAGAACAATCGAAGTACTTTTCCTATCGCAATCCCATTTGTTTAATTACGTTCTTGAAAATTAAAATTTCCACGAACGTCGCAGCCTAGCGAGTAGCATCGCCTTATTTGGATTGCGTTTCGTGTAATCGAGATGGCCATCGACAGGTCAGTAACAATGACAAGGTTCACTTTCATTAGAAGAGGAACACGCGTGAGAAGATGCACCTGACTGGCCAGCAAATGGCGCTTAAACAGCGAATCACCTGTGGCGATGGCTGGACGGCAGCGATTTCAGTTGCATCGCGCGACGCTTCCCACGCAGCCTTGCGCACTCGCTGCCGTTTACATTGCAAATGCTTCATATTATCCTGAAACGATAGCCGGCCGTGCCTCGGAGCTTCTTCGTGCTCGGCGATTCAAATGCGCGCGCGTTTATCGGATAAAACGACATCGCGGAACGATTTACGAGCCGCTTTCTTTGAAACGGACCTCGCGCATCGCGGCGAATCCCGAATTAGCCATTAAACTCGCGAAATTCGCTTGTAATGTCTTTCATTACGCGAAGTGTAAGGAAATACTCATTAGGCGGAGAAAGAATAGTTCAACCCTTTGCACTCCAGAAGTTCTTTACCGGAAATATTCAATATTTTCTAAAGAGATACAGATGACATTGTCTTAGACTGAATTGAGAAATTTCAAGTACATTGAGGAAGAGAACTGTTTTCTTTCAATATTTCGTACATTGATGCATTGTACATTGTACAACTTCACAGTTTTGCTATCTCAAATCATTTGGCGACTGAGAGGCGCCTCTCGAGTGCAAAGGGTTAAATAAGTGACTCTTACGCAGCAGTATTATCTAAGTAGTTATAATATTGAACACTTGTGTTCTAAAGTTCTAAATTTGCATGAAGTTGGCAGTCTTTCCATTGTGTTTCTACGTAGAAATTTGTCTCCGTCGAATTATTTTCCATTGCTCGTTCGCGTTGAACATTATGCATACACGGCTCGGTGATTTTAGCATTAAGGCTTCTTCCTCGAACGCGTTTGAGATTGCGCGCTACTTGTAAATAATAGAAGATCAATATTGCCAGCTTTCGTGACATTGACATTGAACATGCTGTCGTCTTATTCGGTGAATGCGACTATCCAGTTACCCGTTGTCGATGATAGATCAGAAATCCGATTAGAATTGTGAGAATGCGGCTTTGTTACTTGATCTCCAGTTTAACAGCAATGGTGTAACTTGTAAAAGGACAATACTTTCCGTGCAGGTTCGAACGCGATAACGATTTGTTTTTATTGACGCGAGAAATGAGATTCAGGAGATATCTGACGAAAGAACGGCTAATCGTTAGGTGCTATTATCGCTCGTGTAGAGACTGATGAAAAAATATCGAGATACGGAAAATGACAGTCATTTAGAAATTCGAAGCTCTTCGGAGATATCGATGCAACGCAGGAGGCGCTGACGTCACATTATAATTGATTATATAATTCATGGAAGCACCTAAACAAGCTGTCGCACGAAAAATGAAAGAGAAGAGTAAAGAGAAACTCGTTCCTCAACGAAAAATAGACGACGCGATCATTCGCGAACTCTTGGAAACATTGTTTCTTTAAATAACTTCCTCGTTGAACTCTGAACCCTCCCGGCTTTGTAGTCGTCTTGTTTCAATATCTGCTTCTGCCTGTTTTTTGCTCTCCGTGTACGCGAACGCCAGGTGTCAACATATCACTCTAACGGCTCGTTAAAATGTCTTTAATCGGCTCGATGACTTTGTTGTGAGACGCGTGGCGACGAGGTTTTTGCCATTGAGCGAATTGTTAAATCACCGACATTTTTTGTCTGTTCTATAAATGCATAGTACATAAAAGCATACGCTAATGCTTCGAATGAAAGAAATTCAAGAATATTTGACAATTCGATCATTTGAAAGCTTCAGAGTTCGAAAGTTTAAAATTTGACATTTTCGAGAGATGAGTCACTCGTGGCTGCGAGCTAGAGATCTCGCGTTCAATTCGAATCGAAGAATCCGTTTTTAACGGTGAAATATTGTCCCGGTCGAAAAAAAAGATGGCTTCTCTTATTCCGGTCAGCTTGGCAGACGAATTATGGAGATGCAAACGGAATTGAAGAACGCGGGCAGCGAGTCGCTTGCGGAACAAAGAACAACGCGAAGTCACGTTCCAGACGATATTAAATCACGGTGAGCCCGCGATCGATTGCTCGATCGGATTATTTCTATTCCGATCAGCGGCCGTGAATTGCACGCATAGCTATCAACGGGATTGCTAAACGAGATACCGTAAATATCGAGTGCACCGACCGATGTCGAGCGATTTGTTGCTGCACGATTTGCTCGCGGCCTAAGGGTACGTGTTCATTCGAATGCCTCCGCGATTCCTTTCGCAATTATATTCACCGGAACGAAATTGTCATTGACAATTTACCGAAAATGAAGGACGAAGATTCTTTGAAGTATACAGAACCTTCAGCGGGTGAATCTAAATTATACATCAATCGTTTAAATAACAGAAAAAAATACGCGCTGATCACTTGCTGTTTGAGCAATCATTTGTATTCGACTCGTTGCAAACACGAGAATTTCATTTCGCCGGAATGTCGACGTTTAAATCGTAACAGTTGACAGCAGGAAAATATTATCGAATTTGAAGTCAGAAGAATCCAGTGACATTTATTTCCTTTAACATCCGCGCGAACTATCGCCGAGGAAATATTCTGCGGTGCAGCTCGCGGTGGTTTTACTTTCAAATGAACATACAGCTTAACGCGGTAAACACGGGAGAAACGACTCCCGAGATCGAGATCGATAAAGATTCGTTCGACCGGTTCTATCCAAGGGGAACCTGTGCCCGATTAACTCGGCCGATAAACTTCTAAGCGATCGGAGGTCTGTATCCCCAATTCAGGAACCGACAACCTTGGTTCGTTTTCATTTCGCAGCGAGCCGATAGTCCGACCGACGCCCACGAAAGGGAAAAGAGGCCCGCGAACCGGTCTAACACTTCAGCATTGCGCTGTTCGCTGGGTAATCGCACGCCGGTGACGTACACCTCTCGGGGAAATGTTAACGGAACGCTGTTAGCGGTATCGCTAATCGAACGAAACTAGTTTTAATCCAATTAACTTTTGTAACGCGGAACGTTCCCGACTTTTTACCTAATTAATTCTAATTAATTCAACCATTTCGTCTGGTACTTTACATATTTCTGAACATTCGACAAGCATTGAAACTACACTAGTACATGATGTAATCGCGATATTACGGACACTTGTCTTGAATAGTTTCAAACGAGACACTGTTTCGAAATAACATAAACTCGAGTGCTTCTGGTCGATACCATTTTTGAAACTTTAGACGAAACGACTTGAAACGCGAAGACCATTGTCTCATGGCCAGAAAGGAGAATGAAAGATAATAAAATGAAGGATAATGAAATTCTAAAGTCAACGTAACCATTCGATCGAACGTAAATCACTGACCGAGCAACGTCTTCCGAGTAATTTGCATCGTCAATTATTGCCTGGCTCAAGGCCGGAAAATATTGTTTCTACGCGGGTAGGGGAGAGAGGGGGGACCGACGGGTTTCTCCGGAGTCACCTACGAAATCGCAGTCGCATTACCTATGTTTGTTGTTCGTGTTACAGGTGTCCGGCTTTTAAACCCGTTAACTAGCCGATTTCGTCGCTCGCTCGTCCAGTCAGGTTCACAACCTTCACGGTATCCCTTCGCGTCGAACACGTAGTTCCGATTAACATTTTTATGGGGCTCCTCGAACACGTAACGACCATTTTTGATTACCTATTAATCCGGATTTAAATACGACGAAGATATGCGCCCTGATGGCCAGTAAAATGTCCCGTGAACCGGAAACAGTCGAGTTCTACATATAAATCACCAATGGCTTGAAAATCAAGAATTTTAATGAGTCGTTCACAGTCAACGACTAGAAACTAACTGTAATGAACATCGTTGAATAAAGTCTGATAAACAGTTCCTGAGATCTCGAGACGAGTTCGCAGGTTTCCGGTTAGTTGAGGTTTTCGAAACTTGGAGTTTCAAGTATAATTGCATGAATGAAAATGTTGTTCGTAATATGTAATATAATATTAATGATATAAGCGTTAAAGGACGACGTCAACCAAGACACATTTGTTTACCGAAACCGTCGGCTAGTCGGGTAGCCAACTGCAAACTGAGACACGTGATTTCGATGCAGAACTCGTGTGTCTTTCGCAAGAGGCTTGGCGGAACGGTCCACGCGTGTCCCGAGATCGACAGATCGGAGACGTGTGCGTGTCGCGGCGACATGTAATTTCGGCGGTCCGTGGAAATCCGAAACCGGGGAATTTCTGACCGCGTTCGATACGGTAATCGCGTCTCTGACCTCGCGCGCAGTACGTTCGAGAAAATGTTGGTGAAAGGATCGCTGTCGCGGCGCGCGCTCCTCGATCCATAGATCGCCGTTGGACACACTTCCGTTCGCTAATCGATCGATTTACCAGGAACATTTAAACGTTTCGTTCGGTGGGTACTTGGTAAATCGAGAATTAACGAGGATGAATTAAGATCGTACGTGGAAGTCTTAGATAATGAAGAACAATAAAACTATCCACTAATCTCTTATTCGAACATTTCCAATATTTGGGAACATTCTTCTTCGGAGGGTTAAAGGTTCACAGCTATTTCACTGAAATACAATGATTGAATGAATTAAATGAGTTGACCGATTCAAACACCGAGAATCGGTGGCTGTCTACTTGACAGAAATCAATGAATCATAAATTCGCATTCGAAGAAGTAAACGACTGACACCGGCAATAACAGCAGTTTTCCATTGGGTTTCAGATGGCGAAACTTTTGCGGGAGTTATATGATAATTACCGAGACCTGATGGACAATCAGAGTGACCAAAGGGTGAAAGACTGGCCATTGTTAAGCAGCCCTTTCCCCACTCTAGCCATTGTCCTCTCTTACGTGTACTTCGTGAAGGTGTGGGGTCCGAAATGGATGGAGAATCGCAAACCTTTCGACCTCAGGAGGGTCATAATAGTCTACAATTTAGTGCAAGTGATATTCTCTATATGGATATTCAAAGAGGTAAGCGAACCGGACAGGTTGAACAACAATTTCATCGTGAAAGAGGATCGTTTTAATCTCTGTTGCGATCCTTAAACGCAATAGCTTCTTTGAACCAGTTAATTTCGGGAGGAATTGCACCGCCTTCATTGCAATTCCTATTTTAAATATATCTTCAATTGTAATATAAATAGTTTTTTTGTTGTTCGATTGCTACAGGCGATTGTAAGCGGATGGGGAGGCCAGTATTCGTTCCGCTGCCAACCGATAGACTACTCGAACGACCCGATGGCAGTGCGAATGGCCGAAGCCTGTTGGTGGTATTACTTCGCGAAATTCACTGAACTCTTGGACACGATCTTCTTCGTCTTGAGAAAGAAGAACAATCAAATCTCCACGTTGCACGTGATCCACCACGGATGCATGCCGATGTCCGTCTGGTTCGGCGTCAAGTTCACTCCAGGTAAACAAATCTCTTGCGATACATTAACCCTTTGCAATCGAGAGGTGACTCTCAGTCGCCGTTTGATTCGCTATAGATACGATGCATCGAGTAGCTTCGTTTCTTAATTTACGTGCGACTTCATTTAGTTTAAAAACGACAGTTACGTCAGGTGGCATTAAATTTCAAAGTGAAAAGTCAGAAGCACTTTGAAGAACGATCGGTCATTTTGTTACAGCGCGTGTAACAAATGATATTTATTCGCGAATCGTTTAAGTGGTTCACGGAGATTTAAGTAGTGCAAACAAACTGTTCACGGCGGGATGGTACAGTCTCCTTCTATTTATGCAGATACACGATGACAGGCCAAGTGTCGAGCGAATAATTCCGCGTCGGGTCGGAGAATGTCAATAAAAACGAGTTGCAATGCTAATATCGTCGCTGAGAATTATTAAAATAATGAAAAGCTACGACAACGCGTAAGCAGCGCGCTTCCTGTTTCATTTAGCGAGCGGTCGATCGGCACTTTGGAATTGTTACGAAACGCCGTCACTTCCGTTATCGTCACTCGGGATAAACGAAGTGGCCGTGATAATCTGGTTCCTGAGAATGTTGCTGTCAGGTCTTTTTTTCGACAGGATCTTAATAACAACCAACGTCGTATAAAAGATGTATCACTGCGTTCCAAATGAATATCGATACGGAGTATTTATCCGAAACGAAAATCGTGGAGGCGACAGGGCAATCAACGGTGTAAAGTGACCGATACAATTATATAACGGTATACCAACGACCGTAGTCAATCTTCCAAATGTAAATGACGAAAACGCAACAAGAATACAGCTAATTAACGATTTACGCTCGCGCAGGCATTAAGATTCAACGAAAACTTAAACTTGACACTTGACACTCGATCTTTAGAATGGTCCTCATGTAATTCCTGGAAAAGTGATATCTGATGTTTCTGCTGATATTAATTTGTAAAACTGTTCCATTCAACATTCCTTCAGTAATTGCAAAATAATATTAGAACCGATCATTTCATTTATTCTGACTTTGATTCAGTTCGAATGCCTAATTCATTCCTCTACGAACGAGTATGCCTCGGACATTCGAAAAGTTCCGGACCAACACGACCGGCGCGTCGCTTCTCGCTGTTCCCTCGATCGCCCCGAATCTACCGATCGCACGATAAGAAATCTCTAACTTCGTTTCCCCGGTTTCATCTCCAGGTGGTCATTCAACCTTCTTCGGTATGCTGAACACGTTTGTGCACATCGTGATGTACACGTACTACCTGCTGGCCGCGCTGGGCCCGAAGGTGCAACCGTACCTGTGGTGGAAGAGGTACCTGACGCTACTGCAGATAGTCCAGTTCGTGCTGATGCTGATCCACACGTTCCAGCTGTTGTTCATCGAATGCGACTACCCGAGATCGTTCGTCTGGTTCATCGGGATGCACGCGGCCATGTTCTTGTTCCTGTTCAGCCAATTCTACAAGCAAACGTACACGAAGAAGCAGATCAAAGCGGAGGCGCTGAAGAAGAAGAACGACGAGGAGGCCAGAGAGCAGAAGGAATCGACGACGCGCGCCGAGACGAACGAGAACGGCGCGATCTACGCGAACCAGTACAAAATGGCGACCGGTTACATATCGGACAGCGGGCTGAGGAACCGTGTGTTCATCGACAACCGAGGCTTCAAGAAGTAGTTCCCGATCCACGCCGACGATCAACGGTACGCTCGGATGACACTCGAGCAGCGATCAACGATTTAAACCGATTAAATCCCGTCGATCCGGGCGCCTTTGATCTCTGTTCAACTTGCTCGGGAAAAGAAGAGCGCACGCTTCCTGTATACATACGTAACTCGAGGAACATTCGTGATCCTTGCTCGATCATCTCCAATCGCTGGCGGCCTACTTGACCGTATCGTCAACTGTGAATGCTTCCGTTGAATCTTGCGTTGTCGTGTAAATATTACGGGTAGATGATGTAAACCGGGTCTAAAGGAAGCGTTCTTCGTGCGGACTTCAACGTGTGCGTGCCCTATGCAAGTTTCCATTCTCGACCGACCGTTGGTTCAGTTAAAGTCTTTTTGTTGGTCCTGCGTGCGGGACACTGCGTGTTCGTGTGCAAGTGTGTATGAGTATGTTTATGTTTGCGCGCAAGTGTGCATGTGTGTGTGTGTGAAATGGATGTTAGTTCCATAAGATATCAGATGAATTTCTTTGTTATTGGTTTGGTATCGTTTGACAGAAGTTTCAGTACTAGAAGTTGATACCGTGTGCCTAATGTTTTGATACAGTGGAACCTCGTTTGTTAGGCGCTGATGATCTCTAGTATACGCTCTAGAAACTGTTGCTGTTAGTATGTAACAAAAATCAGGATAGCGGTCGCGTAGAAACAGGTCATTCGATTGATTAATTGTTTGTTATCTTTTAATCTGTTTCGTGCGACGACCGATTTTTTATTGTACAACGATTTATAAATACTGGACGGCATTTTTCGTGGCGGCAGAACACAACTTTTCGTGGGGGCAGAACACAACAGTGTCATAACTGTTATTAGATATATTCACAGTCGATATTCTATCGGTACTTCGTTCCTGTATTTTGGTTCTAGTTCTGTTTTACAGCTGTTGAAACCGTTATACAAAAATTCTAATTATAAGTTATAATAGGAGCGAGTCGTGCAGTGCTGGCCACTTGAACTTTTTGTTGTTGTATCTTGTATTACAGTCGATAAAAGTCAAAACTGTGTTTACAATATAAATAAAACCCATTCGAAAGAGAAATATTATTGTCGTTTACAAAAATATAGGACAATTTTGGATCGATTTTTATCATGCTCGACATACTATGAATACTATACATAACAGAACAAAATCATTTACTTCTCAAAAAATCAAGAAATCAGCTTCAAGACGTAACTTTCAATTCATTAAGTATTAACATACACGTTTGGCGGTTCAGAACATGTAAAACAATGGACTAAATAATTTAAAAAAATAAAATTAACTTCTGTACACTAATCGACTCTTTCCTATACATGATTTGCAACTATTGCAAAATCATTTTATGATGTTCTGATACAGAACCGATATAATATCGATCCTCAAGAACAGAAACCGAAACTGATATGTAATTTGTCCGAGACAGTTAATGCAAACAGAACAGCGACAGCATTATATACACGAAATTTTTTGGTGCATGAAACGAATGACAAAGTATCGTGCGAAAAATGGAAAAGACTCGAACCCATCGCCTGTAACGACACAAACAAAGACGATCCCTTTTCCTCTTTCGATTGAAACAGCGAAAGTGTAACGAAACGATATCAAAATATGTAAATATTAAAAAAAGTATGTAATATAATTGAAATTTCTATTTAAAAAACGGACACTTTGTAAATAAAGTTTAATTGACACCTTTACGTAGCACTGAACGTGTTTGAATGTCCTTTCACCCCGTTCTTTCACCCCCTTCTAATTTATGATAATCAGCGAGAGATTTGCGGATTGTTCGTTTAATTTGCTGGTGAGGAATTGATAATAGTAAACCGATATTTCGTAAATTGAAGGAAACCTAATCAATATTCTAATTCACTTGTATGGCAAAATAATAAACGCGTAAAGAAAGTCGGTAATTTGAGAGAAAGTGGAACCGGGTGTCTTTTTTATTGAATTTTGAATTAACGTGGTTAATTTGCAAGAAAAAACATTTAAAAATATTGAAGAAGAAAAATTATAGAAGAGAAATTAACGGTACGCTGAGAATTGATTTAAATTGGATTTGTTTCTACGCTTGTGACCTATTTGTCATTGTACTCATCGTGTACGTTTTCGTCTTTAACACAAGAGTGCTCTGGTAGCACTGGTTCTTAACCTCACTTTTCGTCACGGCTGTGCACGTATGACACGTGACAAATTGAAATAGTTTGTTGATCTATAAACGTGTTTAAACAGTGTTATATAGCTGTTAAAAGTTAGTGCAAGAACCTTAATAAAATGGCGAAGTTTTGTTTAAGTAAGTTTCATAATGCTATCACTTGAATTTAATTTCTACATTTAATGAAGGTTATATTTACTCCAAATTATTGGATAATATTATTTTTATTTAATACTGCTTATTACAGAAAAACAGAGCAAGCGGATGCCAGCTCGCAAAAGATATAAAATTGAGAAGAAAGTTCGTGAACACAACCGAAAGTTGAAAAAAGCAGCTAAGAAGCAACCAAAAAGTAAGGATCACCAACTGGTATTACATCAATTAGAAAGATTTGAGCACTGTTTAACAAATCTAAATATTTCCTTGAATTTTACAGAGAAACAGAAGGTGATACAAGTCCCAAACCAATGTCCTTTCAAGGAAGACATACTCAAACAGGTAGAAACTATGAAGAAACAGCACGAAGAAGAAAAACAGAAGCAACGTGAAGCTGCTCGTGAAAAAAAGCGACGGGAGCTGGCTAAAGGTGGATTGCAAGGATTAGTTTCTGCAGCAGAGGATAAACAGTCACAGCATCAAGAGATGGAAGTTGATGGTGTACACGAGAAGATAAAGAATGCCTTAGCCAAAGAAGAAAATTCCCTGAAAGCTTACTACAAAGAGTTTAAGAAAGTCTTAGATGCAGCCGATGTTATCCTAGAAATTGTTGATGCTAGAGATCCTTTAGGAACCAGATGTAAAGAGGTCGAGGAAGCAGTGCGATCGGCAAAAGGGAATAAGAGATTAGTAATTGTTCTAAACAAAGCAGACTTGGTACCCAGGGAAAATTTAGATCAGTGGTTGAAATATTTGCGTGGTAGTTTACCAGCTGTTGCATTTAAAGCGTCTACACAGGTTCAAGCGAAAAGATTGGGCAGGAGAAAATTGGGGAAAAAGACAGAGAGCATGATACAGGGTGGTACATGCTTCGGTGCAGAGTTACTTCTGTCTTTACTGGCAAACTATTGTAGGAACGTTGGTAACGTTAAAACCAGTATTAGAGTGGGAATTGTCGGGCTCCCGAATGTTGGCAAATCTAGTGTAATTAATTCTTTGAAACGTAGCAGAGCTTGCAGTGTGGGTAGCACACCTGGTACGTTCTTGATTGTTATTTCAAATTAGGTTATAACATAATAATCGATATTTATGTTAATCCAATTTCTATGACTGTAGGAGTAACGAAAGCGATGCAAGCGGTGCAATTAGATTCGAAAATAAAATTGTTAGACTCACCGGGTATAGTTTTCGCTGACCGTACGGAGAATGCGGACGAATCTTCGGTGGCGTTGAAGAATGCCGTAAGAATTCAATCGCTCAGAGATCCGCACACACCGGCGACAGCGATTTTGAAGAGGGTATCCAAGCCGCAAATAATGGAATTATACGACATACCAGAATTCTCCACACCCGACGAATTTTTCGCGCTAAAAGCGACTCGAATGGGGAAGTTCCGGAAGGGGGGTATACCTGACATCACCGCGGCTGCGCGTAGCGTTCTAGAGGACTGGAACTCCGGGAAAATTAGGTATCGATACAGTCTCGATTAAATCGATTTCCGTTCGATAACTTTTGAAATTTAAATGCGCATATTTTTATAATAGATATTACACCGTACCACCCGAAGAGCCAGTGTGCCACGTGTCAGCGGAAATACTCAGTGAAATCAGTAAAGAATTTGAAATCGAAAATTTCGCCGCGGAAGAGAAAATGATGCTCGACACCTTCGAGGAAGAAGTCGCTAAAAAATCGACGATCGATCCATTGTTGATTGAAAGTACTGGCCCAGTGGTGTCTGCGATGGAAATTGAAAAGCAAAAGGAGGCAGTATGTCCATAGTTTTATACCTTTTGTAGGTTATATTTTCTTTTACCGATAAACGTGATTGTTCGCAGCAAATCAAAATACAAAAGAGACTGAAGAAAAAAATGGAGAACGCGAAGAGGTTCAGTGACGAGGCTAGAAAAAAGAAAACGGATCCGTTGTTGGACCTCGAGGGCAATCAGAAGTTGAATAAGCTGAATAAACTGGCGTTTAAAAAAGAGAAAAAGGAACGGGCCAGAAGAGGTACGGATTTATGCTGATGTTTTTAATAAGTTTTTTTACAGGAAAGACAAAAGGGATTTTCTGATTTATTTTCTTACAGAAAAAGTAGCAGTGCAGTTGGCCGGACAATTAGAAGGATTCAACCTCACCGCTCCCGACGATTACGATTTCAGCACAGATTTCGTCGAAAAGAAATAAACCTTATATGCATTGCGTTCGTGTGTATAATGTAAATAACAAGCGACTTGTGGACTAATAAAACTTTTTTTAGGAATGATTATTTTTATCCGTGTTTCAACGATTCGACTGATATTCTTTCCTCGGTCGTTATTCAGATGATTCTCAAGTGTATCGTGTAAACATAATTTGCGTCACACGTACGAGATAAAAACTGAGTAGCTGCTACTTCTAAAAATACGAGACTATCAATTTAAATAAATTTGATCGATTACGAACCCTCAAGTGACCACGGTGTTTCTTATCGATCGCGTTACTGGTTTCTCTTTTAATAAAACTATCAATCTTTATCACACTACGATTCCCATCGATTCCAGATTAGATTAGTCAAAGATTCCATCGATTCCTACATTCGCCTACCCAGAAGTTGTTGAAAATTCTACGATCTCCACTATAGCATTGAAAGACAGTTTAAACAGCAAATTTAGCAGAATCGAATCCGGTCGTCCCAATTCCTCTTCGCAGAAATCGCAGGTGAAAACAGTCGGCTTCACGGGAAATTCTGCGCGCACGCGGAGCACGCGAATTCCGCGGCTGTTTCCCGCGTGATAATTCTGTTATTTCTGCGGCAGGTCCGGAATCGAATCAGCCAAATATAAACACGTGCAAATTCGCTGTTTTCACTAGAAATATGAGCCAGCCTGCCGTGAAACGGCGGCTAACAAGCAATCCGCGCGGGGACACCGTGAAAAACATCGACGCGTTCTTCGTTCGCGCGTGTACCGCTGCCCGTCCGATCTGAAAAACATTTTCGTCGTTTCTTTCAATGGGAACAAACGGTACTTGTTAGCATTAACGATGGGAAATAACGTCGGGCAATTCTTACGCGTGTTTTCAGCGCGTGCCGGCGCGCGAAGATGTAAAGAGTCCGAAATCAAGGGAACACGTGGACTTCGTTATCAAGAAGCTCATGGGTGGCAAGTGGTGGCAGGAAATTCGAGCACCGCTTCGAGTGGGACAATCAGTAGCGTAGTAGATAAACTGACGAGTTTAACAACTCATCGGTCATTCAGCAGCAAGGTCCCAGCAGTGCAACTGCAACAGCGTGCAGAAACGAGCGAGCTCGTCGCCGCGGTTTCGATAATCTATTCAGAACCCCTTCCGACGCGTTTTCCTTCGTCGAGGACGTAAGATGAGCAACGAAACGGCGAAACGACCGGTTACGTTCAAGACTCCTGGCCAAAGCAAAGTATGGAAGGTCGTGGAGGCTGTGGTCAAAGGGCAGCAAGAGCCTACCAAGTTCACCATTCGGGAGCTACCGGAGGACAGGTACGAGGATGCCATCGATCACATGTGTACTTACTTCATTGCGGAAGAGCCGATATGTAAATACTGGAGTAAGTTCGATTAATCTAGTTGTTAACTCTTAGTCGAAGCGTGCCCGCCAATTATCCGGGAATCGATTGAACGGAGCATAAACCGAGCGATGTATCGAGTATGTTGAGCAACGAGTTTCTAGTAAACGATGTTTCCTTTGTTTTTTCTATTGCATATTATTGTACCGAGTCCGATAAGATAACGAACGGCCGCGAGAACGGAAAACAAATTTAACGTTTTCATTAGCTGATGAGATTATTTACTGAGCAAACGCAAATTTACTGATGCTTCGGCTAATTGTTGCTCTTGCGGAGCAACGATAAGGAAATGCGAGATACGATACGATGAATGGATCGGCAGGATGAATGATAATGCGAAACGTTTGACAACATTCGGAAACATTCGTCAAGATATATTTCACCTTGGCGTGTGCGAACGCGAAAATTGTTGTGTTCCGCGAATAAGGTCATATCGCATGTTCTTATATGACGCTGTAATTTGTGAGATGATACTGTGACAAATGGGCTCTCGCGCCGCCGGTATTTATGGCGTAATTGTATGTTTTTGAGGGCTCCGAACGACTCAATTGTGCGGACGGAGAAAGAATGCGAAACACTGAGTCAGCCATTTGTCCTCCCTTCCCGTGGAACGTTGCCGGAATTGAAAACAAGTCGATGAGACGTGGTAGTGTAGCAGGTGGAAAATGACACGTGAAAAGTAAAAATACAGCGTTCACACGAGAGCTTATGCAATTCAAATGTTGCACGCTAGAAGTTATTCGAAACGAAAACTGAATCGTACATGCTGTATCATCGAGCAGAAAGATTAGCCGAAGTATCAGTTACAGTGTGCAGTATCTCGCAACTTAATTTGCGCCAATAAAATTATCTACAAAGTTATCACGGACAAACATGAAAATTTCTGACTGCAAGCTAAACCGTCCTTATCAGGCACAATGATTAGAAGCAACCCGGTTATTAGTTGATATAATGCAGTTTCCATTTCGCGACGCGTAATCCTGTCACTTCTGGTTCATGTAAATCCCGTTTAAAAACTACGTCTCGCGGTCTTCTGCTAATGCTGTTTACCAGATAACGCTACGTCGAACTCACGGGTTTCATAACTGACGATTACCATTCGAGAATATTAAGCGCGCGACCCGTTTGTTCGGCCAACACGGACAATACTGTATTTTACGTGAATTTATGAATAGCAATAGAGCGTCCATTGTCGAGCGCACTACCGTTTGAATGTTTCGTTGTTCTTGAATCGCGAATACGTTAAATTACGATTTATGAAAACGTAATTACATCGGAGTATCTTTTAATTCTAATTGGCTCGTTCTGCTGAATCGACAGACTGCTATCTGTACATTTTCTTTTTATCGACTGGGATCAGGGGATTTTACTAGGATCTAACCCAGATTCTATTGTCTTTCTAGATGGAAAAGACGATCCAGAGTACGTGCAGTCCTTCCGAGCACTTTGGGCGGAAGTTGTAAAGCAAGGTTTGACGGTGGCAGCCTTCGTCGATGACCCGAAAGGCGGGAAACCGATACTGGCAGGCGTGAACATGCTTCTGTTGAGCCAGAAGGGCGAAAAAGAGAACCTGGATGGTATTTTAAAGGTGAGCTCGCAACATTCAGCACCGAGATCGGTTACAACAAGTTTACTCTGTGCACATGGCGACGAACACCGTGTGCCTAGGGTGACAAACATATGAATTGTTCAGAGGTCAAAGTGATTGACTCCACTTTGCGAATGCTCTTCAGTTTTAATGCTAGAACACTCACTCGGTTCTTAATACAGCGAACCACAAAAATATACTAAGGTATGCTTGAGTTTAATCAACGAATTACTATGTGGAAACTAGCGAAACATTACTGTGATCTCATTTAATGTATAATATTACTGTATTACAACCAATTAGGCGATTAAGTTGTACGTATTTGTAAAGTACGATAACACTCTATTGAGAGACGTAAGTTTGAGTTGAATTATATGATAATTGACAAAGATACGTGCTTTTTTTGTGGTTCTATCTGTAATTCGATCAAAGTCTCTCATTTCGTGGAGTTAGTCGCGTTGATGAAGGGATGGTTTACAAAAATGTCGGCATGATTTACAGTCAGAAAGAAGCAGGTTGCTAGTGTGGTCCATGGAAGTCCTGATCAAGGCTGGTAACGTGTACGACGTGTACGGGACAGACAAATACATAAACGCTCTTGGCTTGTCTGTGCAACCGTCGTATCAAGGAGCTGCTCTGGGCGCTCACCTTCTGAACGCCAGGTATGAAACTCTATGAATATACATTTAAAAACAAATTACAATTGCCCGAGCACTCGGAGCGTTAAGCTGTTGTAACGAGCGATACTGTCAATTGCCACCTTTCAACCCCTTCTGACTACAACGGACATAATGAATAAATTGGGAACGTTACGCGCTTAAATGAACACTTCGGTGGCTCTTATCTGGTTATCAGCTGACATTGCACAAACGTGGTTTCTCTTCGTGGAGGATATCTGTATAATCGGTGTAATCTGTATAATATATAAAAAGTCTGTATAGATACCGGAAACATATTGCTGTTTACGGTATTTGCAAATCGTATCAGACAGTTGTTCCACTCGAGAGATCCGCTATCTAATCGTCGTCAATTGGAAAACGTTCGGAATCGATCTAAAAAACACTGATGTAATTCCGTCGCGTTAACGTAACGTTTCTTCAACTCTTTCGCATCATAAATTCGAATTCATCGAACAGAGGTATTGTTTGAGGTTCAAAGAACTCGATTTTTTAGTTCTGCTGGAAGTCAGTTAATTAAAGGAGCGAGGATAAAGAGGTCATTGCATCGACGAATAAAGTATTCGAGGGTTCGCCCAGGGAAGTGTTTCCAACTTTTTCTTAGTAACTTGCTTCAATTTAAACGATTTAAAGTCCTAACGAAGGACACGCTACTGCAAAGCCCAGCCGTCGTTCACGCGTCAGAGTGGCTGCGTCAATGGAGCTCTGGCATCCTCGAGGATTCAGTTTGCATTTACATTCAAAAGCTTCAATTAGTAACTTCGTTAGCTGCGCTGAACCGGAATAGAATGGCGGTATTCATTCGACAAGCTACATAGAATTTTTGTTTCCCTCCGAATGTGAAGCATCCGGGTATATTGTTAGTGCTGTTCGGCTCTCGAAAAGCGTCGAGGCAACTCCGAACATGTTCCGTTAACGAGATAAACACACGAGAGTGATCAACTTCCACCGTTACATGCACTAATCATGCCTTCTAAAACAAATGAAATGTTTCGTTCAATGTGTGTAATATTCGCTGATCCAAGAATTTTACGAATTCTACTGGTTTGAGACAGACTAGAATTAATCTCATATTCTTCAGTAATTTATTGTCAAAGTCAATGTTCCTATAATTCTGCAATCAACGTCTCCAACTAGAATCTACTGAATGATTGCGATCGGAAAATTAGTGAGAACTATAAATATTGCAATCACTAGAGGACTTGTCAATGTCCATCGTTACGGTTAGTTGCCGATGTAATGGTCGCCACAGAAACTGAGTGTACCGTTTTTTACAGAGAGAATATCGGCCGCGAGTACGGCATCTCGGCGACAGCGACGGTGTTCACGTCGCCGATCGCGCAGCGTCTGGCCGCGCGCTGCGGCTACACGGACCTCGTCGTAAAGGATTTCGAAGACTTGGTGGACGTCAAGGGGAACAAACTGTGCCCGGGGATAGGGCTGAAGCAACTGAAGCTCATGGGCAAGAAGCTTTATTAATGCAAACTGTTGCTAATCGAGTATACTTAACGCTATGTGGGAAACCATTTGTTAAAACACAATGCGGCCGAACGCCCGTTTTCTGGACAAAACTTGAAAATCATCGGTGATGCAAGAACATGCTTTAGACAAAAGTTGTGAGGTATAGAGCTAAAAATATGGAGGTTATATGTTTTTTACATTCTGGAGATATGAAGATTTTTCAATGAATACTTCGCGTTTCGAATCCAACGTTCTATGAATGGAGAAACGAAGTTGTTCTTCAAATGACAATTATTCTGGCAACCTTCGATTTTTATGCGAATAGTCGAATTTCTGGGTTTTGTCCAGGCGGCCACGGTTCTTTTCGGACTGACGGTCCTCACTTCACACCCTTCCAACCTTCATGGAAAACCTCCCCTTAAGCACTTAAATCTAGGCACAATATCGTTCGATTCCAATGCAAACAATTCGTGGAGACTTATCCAATTAGCAAACTGCATATCCAACGAATTGTACAACTTCCCACTGCGAGGGAACTGCGACGGTTTCGCAACATTGTTAGGTAGACTAATTATTGCATTCTCATTCGACGGAGAATGGCAACGGGAAGGTACATCCTGTCTCTTCCGAATCCTCCGTAGGGTTTCCGAGGCTTCTTTGATCCGCTTTGAATCAATGAATCTTTCGGTTTCAATTAGCGAAACGTGGGCGTGTAAACGGGCAAAAATGTAATTACACTTTGAATTGGTTCGTCTTTGACGCCGCGCCGACGACTGAGAGCGGACAAAGGACTTTTCAGTCGGGAAACTAGTTAATTATCCTTTGTACCTATTAATACGATGTACAATAAAATATAATTTACCCAATATCGAGCGAACCAGATGAATTCTCGCTGTTTTTCATTTTAAAATTGTCCCACGGCAAAGGGGAATCGAGTTGACGTAGTCGGTAAACAAGCTCGAGGAATGAACTTTAAGGCTCGAGCTGCACTCGCACGCTGCGCGGTGTTCAATCACGTTGCGCTCGTCGGCCGCATATTTTGCGACTGTTTGCAAAATGTATATTCATACGGTGGCCAATGCTCTAGTTCGGTTTCAATCTTGCCGCGAAACAGTTCCGTTCGAAACAATATTTGGGCGAAGCGAGATAGAATTTCTGTCAACTCGCATCGGGAGTGTACGAATATTTTATTTTCCAACGCGACTCACTCGCTAATTAAAAGATCGTATAGTTTCGTTTCATCACGGGCTGCGAGGAGTTTTATAAATTCGGAGAAATGAGTGCTGCACGCAGTTCGGGAGTGCGGATGAAGCCTACGGTAATGCCGACGGCAAGTCTCGTTACCCCGGAAGTAAAAGGCAATAATTAACTAACTAATAATTAACCTGCATTCTCGTTACCGACCGACATACTCATCCGCGAAGAATTTAACGAGCCCGCGGAACAGAATCAATCGCGTTTCCCCATTTTACAAGCGCCGCGAAATTTGCGATGGAGTTCGAACTATTTCGAAAATATTTTGGACGTGGGAATTTACTGCTCTTCCCTCCGATCAATTACAACTTAATTCTAAATGCAAACATTCTACTCCCCTTTTACTATACTTTCGAATTCACCAGTATCATTAGAATATTCCCAAAAATTCGAAAACGTATGGTTCCTTTTACAGACGTCAAATCCATCTCAAATTCGAATCGTCTCGAGTATGATTCGACAACTCGCGTCTGGAAAGTGTCGAAACTGGCGAAGTGTACAAAACTTTCACGCCGTTGTAAATAAAGCCGACACTTTGCAATGCAAAAATTTCGAAACTCGTCTTCCAAGGCGTTCTAGACCATTAAATCCCAAAAGCATCGAATCGCTGCGAAACTAGGGCTGAAATTACGTCAAGAAACGAGCGAACTGCCGGAACAAGACGCGCAATTTGCTTGGCAATCAAGCAAACGATTTCAATTTTCAATTCTCGTCAGCTGGTGGAACTTTGTTCTCCCGTGTCGCCGTTCGACCATCGTGCCGATACGATCCCTCGGTTACATCGCCGAGAGAGACGCGTTTAGACGGAGTAAGTGGAAAATTGGAAACGAGAACAATGAGAAATGCAAGGTAACGAACGATGTGGCGCAAAAAGAGGAGGAAGGAACAGAGGAGGAGTGGACGTGGCGTTTTATATGCGAAATTAATGAACCTTCTTTGAGCGCGCCGTTCGCCGGACGGGACGCCGGTCGAATATTAATGGCGCGGGACAACGGCGGTACAGCTAACTATTTTATCATCGATTGCGAAGCCGATATGCGGGCGGTCGGGCCGCCGCGCTGCCTCGTTGCGATAAGCGACGACATATGTAAGTAAGTACGTATTCATCCCGGTTCCAGGTAACAGCTCGTGTCACGAAATTTCCAGTGAAATGTGGGCTGCATAACTCGTTCCACGATTATTGACACGCCCATTGTCGCGAGAGTCTTGAACACTTTCGTCGCTCTATTTTATTGGGAAACACACGAGCTTGACAGATATGTGTGTTACGTTCATTTTTGGCTTTCGGGAGAGAGCCGTGTCCGCTAGGAATTTTTTCCCAACGTTTGGCTTTTTATCAGGGGACTAAAGGCACACTGATACTGATGTGTGTCGAGGAAGAGTCTCTTTAAATTTTCGACTTAAGATTTTTTTTTAATTCTTCAGCTGACCAATTAAAATAATTGGTGACCATGGATCCGGAACATGAACAGGGTACGTATTTAGCCAGCTGCAATGCTGGCGAAACGTTGGGAACAAATTCCTAGTGGACACGGCTCTCTCCCGAAAGAAATGAATGTAACACTCCTGGTCGTGAAAGCATGAAAACTAGATATGTATGTTTTCAAAAATACCAGTGCGCGAACTAAGGTGAGAGATCGTTTAGCTACAACGGACAGTGTATATCGGAAATTAATATACTATCAGGTACAAAATTAAATTAGTATAGAATTTGGATTACGAATTCATCGAATCTGTGACAATGTATATCACTTATTCCCTAATAGAGATAAATGGCGATTATCAGTCTTATGCTATTATTAGTTGCATTACTATATTCAGTTATAATTCGAAAGTTCACCGAGGACCATCGGAAATTTTCGGAACAATTCTAGAAAAATCTCGAGTCAATTAAATACTATAATGAAGCTGTCTTCCCTCGGGAACACGGGAATGACCATAATTCTAATCGACCCCTGCATTAATCATTCGCTAATCGCGAACAGTCCTCGCCCTTTCTTCGCCGTTTCAAAGAACGTTAGCCCACCGCTGTTCTCGCCCACGTTTCGCCAGGATCCTCTCGCACATGCGTACGGGGCGGCGAACTCCTGCACACGCACGCACGGATCTGCAAGTAGGAAAGCAGAGTCGCCGCGAGTTTGCCCGCCTCGGTAGTCGCGTTCGGCGCGTCGTACTAGCAAGTACGTTCTTGTCCGTTCTTCATCCAGTTGTCCGATCTCCCCGGCACCCCCGAGCGAGCGCAAAGCCCAGCGACAGCTGAAGAAACGCCGCGGCCCGAGAGTACGATAAAATATGTGCCGATGTTAGAGAGCAGCTCGTCGAACGTGAAGATCCCGTCGCCGCCGTTCCACGGTTACCGTTTCCACTGGTACGGAGTACAGAGTCCTCGTGTGTTCGCCATTTGTTCCCCGTTTTCCGGGCTGCGCTGGTCTCCCTCGATCGGCTCGGACGAAACGAAGTGCGCTTGGTTTCTCGCTTTGAGGTTCGCGTCGACGTTAGTTCGTTCGATTACAGCTTGATACGACGCTCTATTTACTCGAGAATATTTGCGAGTCGTTGAAATGTTACCTTTGAATGGTACAACTGTGATACCACGAATAAATGTAGGAAAAATTGTTAAAAGGTAGAGGTTGCGATAGAATAGAGTAGTCTGACTCGACGTAGGACTGCGAAGGGTTAAAGAAAGTCCTGTTTTCGAAACGACGTGATTCGTTGCTTGAAAACGAGTTTTGGGCACGTTAGGATTGAGTCGCTCAGAATGCGGTTAAGTCCAGAAAAGAAACATTGAGAAAATGTTAGGCTTTTGAAATAGGCTATAAAAAGGACTTTCCGAATAGAAAGGAACGAGTAAATCCTTGAACTACAAAGAATATTATTTGTTTTATGAAGATTTACGGAAATCAGAGAATATAGAGAACTCTATTTAACATTAGCTTCTGAGCGACTCAATTATCGCACACAATTGAAAGTTGCAATCAGGGAATTTAGGGTGAATGATAAAGGATAGTTTCTTGGTTTCTAATAACTACTCGAGAGTTCGACGTTTAATTTCCTCCATGGAAAAGGTTTGTTTCGGAAGCTCCAAAGGATTAATCTTGTTCCAGTTTTCCATTAATTTGTACATTCGGGGCATTATTGAAAACGCGGATACACGTTGGTAACTATATCTCGAGTGTCCCTTGAATTTAAGACGTTTCTCCATGAAATAGCTCTTCAATTAGGAAATCGAACGCTCCGCGAACAATAGTTCTTACTATGTGCTTCGAAATTATTGAAACACGAAATATTCCAATTGAAAGCAGCTTGAACCGGGAAGACGTGTATTGTTGGAAAGCTGATGAGCTTGCCGTGACCGACGCTCCCATATCGACATCGAATTGAAACGTTCTTTCATAAAGTTTTATAAAACCGTCTCCCTTTCAATCGCGAACGGCTCTGTTCCTTCTGGATACATGACTTTCATTCATCGAATCGCTATCCAGCGATTACCACAAACGATCGTGTTGCCTTTCGATCGATGGCTCGCGTCTGTCCGATTTATAATCCTGTTCCTTGCTACTTTCATCTCGCTGCGTTCGTCCCTCGAGCAAGGAAAAACCGTTCCGGACGAAGTTGTGCCTCGCCGGTCCCGATCGAATGTATCAATCGCGCCGGGAACGATTCACTTTAATCCGCCGCGCGGGAAACGTATAGAATTCAGCGGTGCACTCGGTCCTCTCGAAAACGGAGAGAGTGGGCGGGCGCAAAGGTGAAAGAGCGTAACCTGTTGCGGGTCACGGAATCAGAGGCGGACCACGGGGATCGCATTGTGTCGTTTCGATCCAAGAAACGTAGATGCTCGCGCACTGGAATCGATGGAATTCAGTTTAACTGTTGAAAAGATGAAACGAAACGCAGTGTTCCGTGTACAGTAACACAGAAAAGAATAATTAAATTCAGAAAATTGTTTCTGACGGTTGCGCCGCTGGAATCGAGTGAGCATTCTTCAAATTGGATTTTCCAGGCTAACCAATCCTTTGACGGAGTCGCAGGACCCCCGTAATTCAATTTTCCGGGAGAAATGTCCCCGGAGGCTGCATCAGTATGCATTGCTTAAAATCCAATGGAATATTGATTAATTATTCGCAACACGGTCCGCGGCTGTCACCAATGAATAATAATCCGGCGGCTATAAATGTCCGTTTCCACGTCGCCGGGCTTAGACTGTCAAACCGCTCGTCGCTAATCGAATGCGCAACTTTTCTCGTTTAATCGCGTTTTGCGAAGAACGACATGTTCATTTCATTCGACCGCTTCTCGGACGCGAGTTATTCAAAGTTGCTTCCTCCATGAATAAATCTACATGAGTTTTTGGCGAAGCCCCGTGCCTCTCTGACGGTTTTCTTGCGCCGCGGAAAATAAAGGATTTCTGAGCGCGGTCGACTCGAAACCGAAGACGCGCGTCCGCTTCTCGAGAGACGTTCGCCGAATTCCAGGGCACTGTCGTCGATATTTCCCTGCCTCGCGCAATCTGAACTGCCAGCGATGTCGCCGTTAACTCTTACCGGCGTGCGTAACAATTACGGCACCTGGAAACCATTTGCTAATGAAGTTAAAGCTCATTAGCGTAGAATAGAGAACTAAAGGAGCTCTTTTCGCGATTACTTTCAGAAGGAATCGTGGCTCACGTTGTCTCCGTTGTTTCCCCTCGTTCGTTTGCTAATCAATTTATATTCTTTATATGTTTTATCAATGTTATCACTAAAGGAAGCATCGATGCACGAAGCGTTCGATGAACGTACGCCAGGCGTCGGACATTGTTCTTTTCTTCCCCGATCTCGACGCCGCTCGTCTCGAACTGCTTTTCAGCCTTTTGACTCCGGGCGATGCGCACATTCGTGTCCCGGATTTTCGACAGTACCCGAAGCAGCGGTTCTCATACTGGCTTAAACCCCCCTCGCTTCGATGGCCATTCTTATTTTCCTCCTACCGGAACACCAGAGGAAAAGAACGAGGAATTAGCGTTTCAAATATTCAGCTTTCAAACGATAGTTCCTTGCATCTGCATTTTTATCGCGTCCGCTACCTGCCCGCCGTATCTCCGATAATTACGTGTTCATAATTCTCTAAGATTTATGGAATCGTTCCAAGCCGGACTTTCATGCGTCGAAAGGGCCATAAATTTGGCCATCTTCCATCGTCCTCCTTTCAATTCTCTTTTCCGCGCCCACTCGACTGCCAATAACTCAGCGCTCGGGAAAAGCGTGCTAATTTATTTCCTTACGCTCACTGCTGTTGCAAATATGCTACGTTGATGTTGCTGCTAATAACCGACAGATAAGATAGAGGACGAAAAAGACCCCCTGAATTGCCGGAACTTGTTTTCTCGTAGTACCTTTACGGGTATTTATTGTATAGTTTCTTCTATTGTTCCTGAAGAAATTCATGTAACGTTTATCTAGATGGACAATTTTGTTGCATTTCTTCCAAATTGTCGACAGTAAAGTGGTACAGGAGCTTAGAGGTGGAAGTAAATAATACGCCATAATATTTGTAACATACAATATGCGTCGGATTGAGCGTTCTGTTAATCTAGTGTTAACGTCGTCCGACGTAGTGTCGTGTAAATGCTGGCTGGAAGCCTCGGGTACGCGAATTTGCGTTTTCATGGAAGAGCACGTCAAACCATAAGCTGGATTTCAGCACATTCGATTGTGATTTCTCGAGCCAACAGTCGAACGGTGTATTGGATGACAACTGCCGATTGCTACATGGACGAGGGACATCGTTCGAAAGATTAACACTAGAACTACCGAGAATTTAATACAATTAATATGCAATTCCTATAGAAATTGTAACATAGATTATTTTCAGTTTCTTCAGCATTCATTATAATATTCGAATGATACTATTTTCAAGACCATTTCAAATATTCAATGCTTCTAAAATATTAATAATTGCGAAACAAGTCGGAACCAGTCATTTTTACTGGTACGGTAGTTCTAGTGTTAAATGAACGGGAAAATGGAAAATCTGTAGGTCCACAGAGAAATCTAATAGCTCTTTCAAATGTCTTTTAATCCCTTATGGTTTAGCTCGCTACTGATAACTCTTGAGAATCGATATTTGTTTATTATACACCTTAGCCTGAGGACGTGATATCGATAATAGAAATACTCTGTTACTTTGACTTCGAATGATTCGATGCAGATGTAAATTATCTCTAATTGAAGGATCCTGTTTGCTCTCGCGTTTCGCTATCACCTATTATGTTAGATTCTGTGTCTAATAGAGAGCATTGCTACAAAAAAGAGAATTCACCAGCGTGCTCCAGTTCGATGGCCTCTTAAATTGTCCGTGTCCGAGGATCCCTCGCGATAGTAACGATAATAATTACGGGCAAAGTTAGATCACGCTATCTTCATTATTTACAAACTTCACAATTCCCCTAATCTCTGCAAGCTCTATAATCTCCTCTACGCAAATATTTACAATCGTAAGTTTAGTTTACGACCTCCGCGAGAATTAGCTTCGGCACCCTCGTGTTCCTGAAACCTTCTGACTGAATTACAGCTCAACATTTCAAAAATCATCGAAAGTTAACTCACAGTGTCAAACACTGACAGAACATTCAGCTGCAATGGAATTGAGCGTCGAGTAATATCGAGATTTGACATAAAAATGCGAAGCTACTCTGGTCTTCCCTAAGTCATATTGTAACTACGAAACTTACGCGAAACACAGTTCTCAAGAAAATATCTGACACGTTTTTCTTATCGACCGACGTCCACTTTCAACGGGTGGAAACACCCCTCAAAGTTCAAGGCTGGAAGTATATTTTTCACAATATCTCTCAGACTGGAAGATACAAGAGACTAATAAATAAAGACTTCAACCCTTCGCACTCCGAGCAATTTTTAATATAATCTTTCAGCAACTCCGAATCAGTTTTAATATCAGCTGTCAGCTACGAGCGTGCCTCTGTAAAAGGTTTAAGCTGCTTTGTCATTAAAAAAGCGCGTCATTTAAAGTTATGTTCGACTAAAAACGAAGTTATAAATTTATCTTACAATGTCGTGCGACAACGGAGTAAAGGGTTAAAATCGATCGCTTCGAAACGAACGATTTAGATTTCCTTTCTACACCCTCCAGTTAGAAATATAAAAATATACTTCCAACCCTCGACATTGAGTGGTATTCACACCCCTTCAAACTGAACGTTGACCAATAAAAGAAACTGTTTATCAAACACTCTCTCGAGAACCATGCCTCACAGAAGTCTCACGAAAATCGACGGTGTCGAGAAGTTTCCCTTGTAGGATCTTTTCGTTTCGTACAGCGAGTGGGAAAGTAAACACGTCGTTCAATCTCCTAACTGTTAGTTCGGTGTTTTAAATGAAAAAGTCGGACAGCTTCAGCCAGAGGAGAGGAGCTGTCAGAGTCCGAGCAGTCGGTCGCTCGCGAAACTCTTTGATCTCCCGTGAAATTGCTAATACCCCCGTTGCCCTGGCGCAGATCCGCGCGGCCCGTTGCGCGCCGCGTCGCGAAGGAGATGCCCGAGGATCGATCGTAACCGGAAATCCGCGGCGAGTGAACCGAAAGATCGGCGAGAGATGAAGTCGTCCGACGCTTAGCCGGTACGGTGCGGCGCGGTTTTCGTCTGGAGGCGATGAATTACTCGCGGGAGGCTCGCCGAGTGAAAACCTGAATCCGTGGCCCTGCTGCGCGGCCAGAAGAGTGGAAGAGTGGAGAGAGATAGAAGGGCGAGAGAGTGGAGAGCGTCATGTCCGTGGAACATCACGGGGAACTGGGTACAACAGATCGGAACCAAACGAGGCTGGATCGACAGATTCAGGGTAACCAGACGGAGGATCAATTGGACGGCATCCCGGAGTACCTGAACGCCACGCTGCCCGATGTCAACGCGACCAAGGAGATCGACCGCTTCTTCTTCTACCAGGTGAGTCTAGATTTTCTGCCTGTGGATCTTCGATTCGATGAGTATAGATTTTGAGGATGATGGAGTGTATAAATGTGGAATCTATAAATCTAGATTCGATAGGTATAGATTCGATAAATGTAGATTCTATAAATGTAGATACGATAAGCGTAGATTCGGTAAGCGTGGATTCTGTAAATGTTACATGCAACGGATCTTAGATTCTATGGATCTTAGATTTCAGAAATTTCGTCTCGATAAATGTAGATACTATAAGTGTAGATTCTATAAATGTAGATACAGTAAGCGTAGATTCTATAAATATTAGATGCAGCAATCTTAGATTCTACGAACCTAGGGTCTACGAATCTTAGATTTCATAAATCTCGATTTGATAAATGTAGATTCTATAAATGTAGATACAATACGCGTGGATTCTATAAATGTAGATACAATAAGCGTAGATTCTATAAATATTAGATGCAGCAATCTTAGATTCTACGAACCTAGAATCTACGAATCTTAGATTTCATAAATCTCGATTCGATAAATATAGATTCTATAAATACAAATACAATAAGCTTAGATTCTATAAATATTAGATACAACAGATCTTATGTTCCACAACCCCAGAATCCACGAATCTCAGATTTCCCAAATCTCGATTCAATTTCTATCCCATAAATATACGCTCTGTAAATCCTCTAACTATTCAGTTCACCGTTACATTTAATTACTTACGCAGACGTAACGCTCGTTTGCGACACCAATCTTTCCCCGATTCCCGTCACTCCTTATCAAACACTAATTAGGTATATCTTAGTAACTGTACGACCGAAGTAAACGGTAACCGTCACGACTAATTATGCGTCGCGTACACAAAGTACGTTAATATTGAATTACACCGCTGTTTCCCATCAAACGATACACGCAATTAATAACGTCTCCTTTCGGAGGAACGTCGCATTTTGCAACATCGTCGCACGCTGCGCCCATCGAACACGTTCCATCCTTCAAAGCGAACCGGGGACAACCTTCGCAAACACTGTCGACCGTGTAAAACCGAAAATTCCACGTTGAACTCTCTTATAAAACACAAGTCCTCTGACCTACTTAATGCTCCCTAATACCTCTCCAGAGTTGATTCGAAAATCTGTTTCGTTACTAAAAACAACTTACCGATGCGCCGCGGTATTTTCTCGTCCGTTACACCGCAACGCGAAGACTCGACGAACTCGTCGTGGTTTTTCAGATAACAAAAGCGCCCGGCTGCAGAAACATTTCAACGGAAGATCGCTTTGAGGTTTTATCTGCGATCCTGCAAGCTCTCCGGCCGTCGACGCGCTGAAGAAACACCGAAGCTTTACGACGGTATTCGGCGAGTTTGGTTTCGCGCCTCGGTCAATCTGCAGATTAACTGCCTCGCCAATTTTCATGATGCTTAGCCTCTTCGACTCAAAGGATGTAGCTCTAGAAAAAAGCTTCTTTTACGGTTTCTTGTCTAAATAGAATAATATTATTAAACAGAATACTGAAATAATTGGTATCATTTTTAAATAATTAGGTTAGGTTTTAGAAAATTAGGTTGCATCGCCACCTTTGTACTCTGCTGATGTCATTGAAGGGGTTAAAATCGTTGTGGAACCGACGCTTTGTACAGCTCTTACAAAATGTCGGCCTTTTAGTTTCTCAGGTATCGACAAAAAATGACCGGATTCAGGATAGAAGGATGTTCCACAAGTTAATTAACCATAAAGTAAAATTCCAGCAAAACCTCTTCCCTAACCGAGACCGTTTTTGTAAAAGATAGCACTCGTCCAAAGTATCGATTTTAATTATACTTAAAATTCGTCGATGGTGAACAGTTAACTCTTTGCGGAACGTCGACATGTTGGCGAGACGAGATGTTCGTATTTGGAATACTAAGTTGCAAACGAATGATTTAATATCATATTTTTCCCATTTCAAGTATTTCGTACCATGAAATCGTGCTGCATTCAACGTGTTAATTACTCGAATAGCAAGAGATCAGCGTACAGTTTCCTTTATTTCCATTGTTTAAGCATTCGATGTATAATTCATCTTCATACATTGCTAGCTTTGTACGTTAAAGAGTCTTCGTCCGCAAAGGGTTAATCTAAAAGTTCCACAAGTTCCACAAGTTCGTCAGCTCATCGTCCCAGGCTCCCCGAATAAATCTTCCATCCCGGATATTTCGACGACGTTTCGGATAAGTTTAAAACAGCCGGCCGCTCGATGACGTCCGATCGTAAATTTCGCAACAGTCACCGACCGAGCGGACGCGTTTTCAGGAATTCTTCCCGGGAATCGTTTTATCCGTTCGACGAGCATTATTTCATTCGGCGCGGCACTGGACGCGGAAGCTCCGCGATGCGCGACTGCATACGAATGAGCTCGAAGAATTCGGCGCGTGAAAAAAAAAGAAGAATTGCATTAAGCGCAACTTTCGAACATCATTTACTAGGGTTAATTTAGGATCGAATCGCGATATGTTCAAGTTTACTATTCGTGTGATCACTTAGCCAACCGAATGGGGAGATCTCCCACTTTTCCCACCATATTGTTAATTCGTATTCGTATGTGGATATTTATTAATTTTACAGTGCATGGATTTTGTTATAATCGTGAACAAAAATTCGGCCTATAGAGGGTTAACTGAATGAGTTCAATTGAAGATAACGAAGGAGTTTGTAGTTATAGTTCTCTTTAGGTAGTCGCCTAAGTGTTGACCCTCTGCCGAATGCCACAATGGCGACTTCGAGCTTTCGTATTTGAAACCGAAAGCAAATCAATCATTTCATTGCGCGAATAATGAGAGATTCTTTCCTAGTATTTAAAACTTCAAACGAATTCTCGTCCGCAAAGGGTGAACAATTAAGGGGAGATCAATTAAGCTTAATCTTTCCACTTTGGACGAAACACTTGGAAGACCTACAAATTCCTCGTTCCAGAAGCTTAATCGCCATAATCGATACTTGTCAAATTAACATCGTGGTCTAGAAATAACGACGAATAACGTCGACCGATAATTGGAACTCGAAACCATGGAAAATGACGGAGCTATCGTGAAATTGACGTAACCGCGAGGATCCAGAGCAAATGAACACCGAAAACCATTGAATACTTATCTTGTTACGAAGGGTCAGATTCGCGGGTACAACAACCTGCGGCGTGGGCGAATGGCAGAGGTGAATTCTAAACCGCGTTAATTGCCAACAACGGGCTAACTAGCGAGTGCGAGCTTCGAATCTATTTGACTTCTAATCATGCGCCCCTCGGTTTATCCGTTGCATCGGGTCCGAAACGTGACGCAAATTTATCCATTATTTGCCGAGCAATTAATGGACCGAATCTGTTCACAGGTAAACACACCTGTCTGCTTAAATATTCCTCGAATGAGCAACGATGTATTCGTACGAGCGGCACCGATGATTGTGAAATTGAACGTCGGATTGCTCGATTTTCGAGGGAACAATGAAAGTAATAAAGAGGCGTCGGAATAATCATTCTTCGGAACGAAGGAAAACACTCGATAAGCTTTAATGAATTATTCATGAGATATCGAGAAAGAAGTATTCATTATCAGTATTATCAATATCGTTATAGCACCTACTACGCGATAGCTGGATATTTATTATATGATATTTATATGATATTTATATTATACTTCTCTTAAAACTCTTAAATCTATAGAACAAAGTAATAACACTGACTACTAATCTAAAAGCTACAATAAAGTCTTATAATCGATCATATAATTCATCAAACTTTTATCGATAGGAATCACGAAGTTTCCTATCCAACTTAACACTAGAACTACCGAGCATTTAATATAATTAACACGCAATTCCTATAAAAATTGTAACAGTAGATTATTTTCAGTTTCTTCAGACACTCATAGTACTGAAATGAAACTATTTATTTTCAAAATCATTTCGAATATTCAATACTTCGAAGACATCAATAATCGCTAAAGAAAAAAATCGAAACCAGTTTTGACTGGCACGGTAGTTCTAGTGTTAATCTTCTTATTCTTCGTCTGATCGGTTTAGTACCCTGTCCAGTACAATATCCGCGTATCACCGTTATTTATTCCCAATCACTTACCATGCGGTCGTTCGGCGGAAGTTCGCCGTATAGGTTTTCCCTCGATCCGTTCGACGCGAGCCGCGCCTATGGTCCGGAACGCTGGAAAAATGGGCTCCGACGGTGGATGGTATTGGCATCTCCTCGGCGAAAAACATTTCGCCGAAACGTTTCCGCGTCAAACGTACAGTCCACGGACCCCTTTTCTTTATTGTGTCCTCGATCCGCGCGCGCGACCGTTCTCGTAGTTACGGGCGGAAGAAAGTTTAGAAGACACCCCCGGAGAAAGGCGTATTTATGGTATTTCTCGGCGGAGCATAATGGAAAACCGTGATAACGTCGGATCCGCGTTCTTCTTACGTACTCCGGGTTTCTTTCATTTCGTCGCGATCTCTGACAACATAAATTCACCCGGTGAGACCCGGCGTCGTCCGAGATAAGGGGGCGATATTTCAATGTTGCGCGTCGCCGAAACGCTGAACCGACCAGTCCGACGTGATATAAAGATGTTCGGTCCTCGTTGAATCATTCGGATTGTCGTTCACCGATTTCCTTCGATTCAAAACTGCTACTGGATTCTTCGCTGTGCGAATCAAGTTTTCCTAATTCTTCTGTTCCTTTTTCTGTCTACTTTCGTTTCTTGGAGTTTTATGTGTTTAGTGGGTTACAGTATTAGAAGTGTATTTATTTGTTAGAGTACCCTTCATTTGAAGCATCGATTATCCGAACAATTGTCTTTCACTTGTACTGCTCAGTAATTCTATTGTATTGTATAATTATACGAAGAATCTTGGTTCTGATTTAATTTTGATAATGAAGGTCTTATTGTATGAAGTAGTAATAATATTTACCTATGTCTCTCAGTTCCTTTGTCATTGTTATATTCGATGGTGAACTATAAGAAGTGAATTATT